GAAAGGTGGTAGGGAAACCGGGGGAGGCTAAAGTTATCAAGCGCTTATTAAACGTGGGTTTTTTTCACAAAGAACAAGGTGGCCTGTTGTTTCGAATCAGATTTACCGTGTCTAGAGATGAATGTCAAGCACGTCCACCTCATGTTGACGGGGCCATTAAAAAGTGCACAAGTTCTGATAAGGGACCAGGAGCAGCCCTCGTAGGTCAGGAGCAGCGAAGGGAGGAAGAATGGAAATTGGAGACGTTTTAGCAAATGTTTTTACAAGCTCGCTTACTGGAATTCATGAGAGATCCCCGAAGCCTGGCCCGCTGCCAGCACAACACTAGTATATTTATTAGGGAACCTGCTGGCTTACCAGGAAATTACAGACCAGTTAAATGCTTTATACATTGAACTAGTTTATTAAGGAGCTATTTGAGATTATCGAAGAGGGAGCATTCTGGGAAGTGTAATATTGTGAATGGAAGTCAGGAGGCCCTCAGAAACAGTAGGTTTATGTGTCACCTTGGAGCCATATCAGAGTAGAGGGAGGCTGTTGCCACACCGGATACATAAAAGAGGAAGCGTGGATAATGTAGGATCCAAGAAAGACAGCATTGTGGGCAGCGCGTGGGCAGGGAGGAAGTGTCACCGAGCAGATTTGTCTTACTAGACAGATACATTTTAAAGGGAAAACAGCAAGGGCTATACATGAAGCAACTATGGCTGTCAGCTGTGCAGTGGAAGACATGGTTGCAGAATAGCACACGTGCCCAAACTGGCTTTAACCTAGTTAGTCTGGGCACCGATAGTAGCAAAGATGTAGTGACACCAAGGTCTGGCGTGGTCCTAGCTGGAGCCATGTGCTGTGGCTCCAGTGCTGTTGTCCCCAAGTTGGCTCCGGTGTACCTTTGCATGCTGAAATCACTCCTGTTTCCAACAACGGTGGGGTTCAGGGGGGCTGTACAGAAAACAAGATTTCCAAGCCACGGGAAAGGGGAAGGCAGAGTAAATACTGAAGAATAACACAAGCCAGTAAAGAACAACACAGATGAGTCACATCCCTTAGGCTAACAGGCACCAAAGCCAATACAGATAAATAACAAAGAATGAACCTTGAGATTCAAAATAAAACCATTGCATCTCTGCTGGATAGGAAGGCAGTGATAGGGACTGACCAGTAAAGCCAAGGAGGTGATGCAGAAAAGCTAACAGAGAGATAAAAATGAATATTTTTGTAGCATTTAGGAAATCACATCGCCTGGGCTCTTCCTTTGGGTCCTACAGTGTCCTGAGCAATAGGATTTCAGGCTCCTTGCTTCTTGCCGGCCCAAGCCCAGGCAGCTCCTCCCCTGCAATTCAATCTTTCTGCAGTTTGGTCTGGGTGGTGTCTGCCCTGCGTGGCTGGCTGCTCCGACACTTCCTTCTCCATCTCATCGTCCCTTCACCGCACCTTCACCCACACCTATCCCTTACACCCTTTCCTCTTTGTCTGCCCCATCCCCACCACCTCCACTTCTTCTTTCCAGGGACCCGATTCTCTATTCAGGAACCTCACTGAAAAAATTGGTGAAGCTGCCGCAGCACTTGCCCCTGTGTCACATTAGTTCACCCTGGTTGCATCTCATAGTCTTTCCCCGCACCCTGTGCCTGTCTCACCTATTTTGACCTTCCTCTGTTCCGAGCAACTGCTGGTTGCTTCTTGGGCACTCCTGCAGCAAACACGATAATAGGAACAACAATTCAGGTGTGGACAAATGAGCCCAAATCTGCAGGTATTGAATATGGCTCGATTATTCTCATAATGCTCTAGCACTGTTCCTTAATAATCTGGTGTTTTCAGACTGACTTCACATTGTATAGGAGGGGAGATATGCCACTGAGTGCCCCCACCCCTGCAGGTTTCACGGGGCCGTCACTGGCAGTGAAGCAAAGAGGAGGGAGTAACTCCATCCCTTAGAGCCCACTTCCCCCCCAGGTCCCAACTGGGAGGGTGCAGACGGCACCGTCTACTTCTCACGTGCAGAGTAAGCGAGTCCCACAGCAAACCCTGCTGCCAGCCCAGGCTGTCTCCAGCAGAGCTTACATGGGACTGGAGTAGCTCATGAGCCCAATGCTGAGGGCTGGCGTTCATCTGGGAACCTGCTGCTGAGAAGTGCTCTCCTCTCTCTATAAACAAAACTCAAACCTCTGCGCATTCAGCCTTCCCCTCACTTCTGGCATTTTTCCAGTGTTTTGGGCAGCAAGGGCGCTTGGCGTTATTTGCTAGGACATTGGTCACGCCTAGAATAACAGCAGTGCACCCAGAGAACTTCCCTAACTTATTGGACTCCTCCCTGCACCTGGGAGACAGCGTGACCTAGTGGACAGGGCACCGAAGTGGGCACCTGGGCTCTATTTGCCCCCCTGGCTTCCTCGGTGGTGTTGGGCGAGTCATTTTCCTTCCCTCTGCCTCCATTTCTCCGCCTTTGAAACGGGGACCAGGAGGCTTGCCTGCTTTGAGCAGTACTGTGAGGTCTGGCGCGGAGACGTCCTCTCTCCTTGCTTCTCTGCAACAACCCCGTGCTATCGGTTGACCCACTCTGTCGTCGGGTCGAAAGGCTGCTACAAGCATGTAGGAAACAGCAGCCTCCCCCTTGTCTCTTAGGGCAATGGTTCTCAAACTTTTTGGAACCAGGACCCATTTGTAAACAGCGATGGCCAGTCCCGGCCCAGTAAGTAGAAAACAGCCCCCTGGCTCTGCCGGTGCCCCTCAGTCCCAACCCACACTCCCCCACACCTAGGCCCCAGCCTCTCAATGTGTGGGGCGGGGAGGGGGGGAATGTGCACCCGCAGGAGACAAGGGGCTGCAGCCTGCCCGTACTGGCACGGACAGGAGCCACCTCCATGGCCCAGTACGGGAGGGCAAAGCAGGGCAGCAAGACTCATTGCTGCTGCCTGGACCCCCACACCAGCCATGCCGCCAACTAGGGTGAGCACTCGTCCCTAATTGGGCAGGACAGTCCCAGAATGGGAACCTCAAGTCCCAGTCCTGGGCTGTGTGACTCCAGGACAACATTTGTCCTGGATTCGAGTGTGGTGCAGGGATCCGTGGGAAACGGCAGGTTTCCCCTTTGCAGGCTGGCAGCTTTCCAGGCTGGCTGGTGCGGGGGTCCTGGCAGCAGTGGCATCAATGAGTCTTGCCATCCCCCTCTGCCCTCCCACTGGGCCACAAAGGCAGCTCCTGCTCATGTGGGTCTTGCCAGGCTGCAGCCCCATGCATGCTGTGATCACACAAATCGGGGTGGGGGGGCATGTGCCCCGTCATGGGTCACCAATATGTTATCCATGCCCCCCTCTCTGCCCCATAGACTTACCTGTGGGGAGCTGCAGAAGCTGCTCTTCACACTGCCTGACAGCCCTGTGCACATGTGTACATGCTCATGCACATGGTGCCCCTGCCTCATCACCCTCCTCCCACTACCCCCAGCTCCAAGCAGCCCTTTGCAGGCTCGTACTCTGCCAGCCTGCAAGGGGAAATCCACGGTTCTATGTTTTTCTCCTTTAAAAGGCGAAAATCCACATTTTTCCTCATTTTTCTGTGGCAAATGGCAAACCTGTTCATTAGTACGCGCTGCACTAACTTATTATGAAGCACAAGCAGCATCTTTTTTTTTTTTTAAATGTATGCAAAATATGATCCATTTTTTAAGTTTGTTTGTGACCCTTTTATATATCCTTGAGACCCAGTTTTGGGCCACAACCCTGGGTTGAGAAACACTGTCTTATAGAACTGTTTGAGCTCTTGGTATCATGACACTGGGCTCCGTTAGACATGGAGGCGAGTGGGAGGAGCAGGAGCGACTGAAGACAAAAGAAGGAGGTTGGAGGAACTGAGCTCTGGTAGCAACTGCACCAGGAGCTGGGAGCCCTGGTGCTGTTCCAGTGGTACCCACACTGGCGGGGATACTAGCCACAGCCCGCCAGCTTCTGAGGTATCTGGCTATGTGCAGTATCCAAATCAGCTCAGGTGTTTCAATACCACACTGCACTTTGAGCACAGACCTAAATCCTTCCCAGGACCAGAAACATAACTTGAATCTCACACTTTGTTGCTGTCACCCTTCCCCTATGCACGTCTCCATTTACGCTGTACACTCTCCCTTCCTCTGTTTGTCCAGTGCTTGTACAACAGGGCTCAAAATCTAGACTACAGGCCCCTGCAGAGTGATACGAACCATAACGTAAGGGTGAAACCTAGTTATATTTTAGTGGCAAATCAGCAAGTCAAAATGGCAGGGGTCGCTCTAACACATGTGAGCACCCAAAGGGATGTTGTTAGAGTCACCCAGACCAACCCCAAGCAAAAGGTCGACTAACGTGCGATATGCCCGTGTGTGACAGCAGGGTAATGACAGCCGTTCTGCAAGTCCCGATGAGGAGAAGCAGAAAATGGGTTTTATTTGGCAGACATAACTGTCAACACGCTGCTTGGGTCACATTGATTATCTCAGGAGAAAACAGAGACAGAGAGCGTATTGACCTTTACGGAGGGAGCCGGAAGTATCAGCGAGCTTTACCCTACAGCCGTGGGGCTCGCCGATGAGAGCAGCAGCTTGCTCCAGCGCATGAGGATAAAAGGAAGCAACAACCCTACCCCTCTCTCCCGGGCCTCTCAGCATGTGTGTTAGCTCTCTGGTTACCTGTCTTCTCCAGGACTTCAGCACATGATCTAACAATGCTGTCTCCCAAGACATGGTCTTCTGGGGCTTTAGCTGTGTTGCTTTTTGACCTTGAAGATAAGGTTGAGTGCAACAGTCAAGAAGCTAAACAGCACTTGGGCATCAGCCTCTTATCCTGCCAAATCCAGACGGCACTGAGTACGACTGAGTGGTAGATCACGCAGGACTGTTCGAGTGTCACCAGCAGCTAGGATGGAGTGAGCCGAGGCTGCAGCCACTCGCCCATGAAATGTAAATTTAATGTAACTATTTGCAATGTAAAGTGCTTTGCACTTTGAAAAATATGCTATTATGTGTGTCTTTTATTAAAGGAGGAAAAAAAATTAAAGGTATCCAGGCTTTCAGAAATAGTCTCTCATCCACGTGCACTTTTTGCTGCATCCAGAATCGTGGAGTTTAGATTGAAATTTGCCAGCCGTACAGTACGTGGACACCACTGCCATAACCACTAAATCAGCTCTCATTTAGCGAATGTCCTTCATAGCACGCTCTCTCCTGCAAAAGCCACATGGAGAATAGAAAATGACCTGACAGATTTAAAGCAGCCTGGCCAAAAAAAAGATTCCCATCAGCACAGTTTGGTTGCTGCAACATATCCAGTCCCCAGTCATATCACCAGTGTATTTATAAATATGAAGGTTATCGGGTTTGTTCTTATTAGGTACATGTATTCTCAGGGGTCCTCTGCGTACAACAATACCAGTAACTGTCCACGCCTTTATGGTTAAACCAATCGGTGCGAATGGATGCGCACATACATTAATTATGGTGCCACAACAGTGGGGGAACTACTGTATTTCACCTCGTTTAAAAATTAGAATAAGTTTCTGTTAAAAAGTATATTCTTGCAAGCATGCGTGCATTACCAAAATCCACTCCAGTGCAACAATGTATCAATGGGTCTTAATAAAGCCAGCAGCTTTTAGCTTTGCGAGAAATATTCTCCGTCTATAAAAAAAAAAAAAAGGATTGCAACAATTTTGCCGTCATCTAACATTTTTTGCACTCCTCTTTATTCTCAATTCATTTTTCTCCTACTTTAAGATCAGCGTAGGTCAGGAACTATGGTGGGTGAGAAAATATGGACAAAACAAAAGGAGTTGTGTTTCCCTGCCATTTTCCAAGCACACATTGAAGAGACAAGGAGAAATGTTTTCTGGATAAATATTAACATTATTATATAAATCAACAAACAAGAGCCTAAAGGAAATGCTACTAGCACTTTGCCCTTCTCAGGTTTCACTTATCCTTTGCACTCACTAGCAAATAAATTGCATCTGTAAGTTTTTAAAGATTAGCCAGCCCACTTCCCAGTTTTTCAGCTATAAACATCTTTAAATGCTCCTGCTTCCTCATTGCGAATCTGCCAAAAGCAAGAATAGAAAGGAGATAATCAGAAGCATTTTTGTTTATTGTGTACGGGCGAGTCTCTCGCCAACTCGCTCGGTTTGGAAGAACTTTCTCTTCGAACCACCAGCTTTGCAAACTCACCATGGGCTTGATCATCAAAACTTGCACATTAAATAGTTTGCAACTGGACTTCAGTCATCGTTCTAGTGATGACGTTGAGCCAGGAGAGGATCCAGCTCATTCGCTCCTGGTAGCGCAGAGCCAGTTCTGCTAACTGGAAAGTAAAGTACCAAATGTGTTTTGCTATGAAAGGAGCTAGCTGTCACACTAGATCTATTAAATAAGAAGGCACCACTTTGATACAAGTGTTTTTGGGGGTCAAAATCATATTTAGTGTCTGATTCTCATGTATACTAAAGCCAGCTTATTTTCTGAAAACATCAGGGAGGACTCAAAAAGGAGCATTAATTACAGTTACATCCCTTATGCAAATAAAAAAAAATAATCAGGCTCTTAAGGGATTTTTTTCTTCACTAAGAAAAAACATCATTAACATATGTTTGCTGTCTTGTCAAACCAAAGTAGAGACAAAGCTCTTTGGTTTTACCACAGGATAAATGACGCAATGTCAACCATTGGCAGGCCTGCTATCGTGCTGACCTTCTATAGTGTTACCTTGTGGTGAATACTGCAAGTACCTTATCTCCAATGAGGATTTCACGTCAAGCTAACTGTCACACGTTACAGACAGAACTCTTGTGGTAGAGGCCATCTCTCTTATTAGACCAACTAGATAGTTGCAAAAAAATGTCTTTATTTGCAAGCTTGCGGGCTCATGTGCCCTTCCTCAGGCAAAAGAAGACGCAAAGATTGTAAAATTTCTCCCAGGTAGAAATGAAACTTCATATTGCACAGGAGAACTGGAGGATGGTATAAGTTCTCCTGGGTGGAAAAGTTCATTTTATACAAATTAGGCATAAAATTAACTTTTCCACCCAGGAGAACTTATACCATTTCTTGGGGCTGTGCTAATACCCTTTGGGGGTCTAGCACAATATAGGGAAGGAAAAACAACAGAGGGATTAAAGACTGTCCAAAATGGAACTGGTAGATCAGCAAGATGCACAGCGACAGTCCATCTCTTGGCACAGGATTCATACATTGTACAGATGTTCGCTGCAAATTAGGCATAAAATCAACTTTTCCACCCAGGAGAACTGATATCATCCTCCAATTCCCGTGTGCAATATGAAATTTTGTTTCTACCTGGGAGACATTTTACAATCTTTGCATCCTCCTTTGCCCGAGGAAGGGCACGTGAGCCCAAAAGCTTGCAAATAAAGACATTTTTTGCAACTATCTTGTTGGTCTAATAAAAGATATTGCCTCTACCACAAGAGTTCTGCCTGCTTTTGCCTTTAGACCAACAGCTACAACCTATATCCCTATCACATATTAGTTATCTTGTCTTAATAAAGTCATGTGTAAGACTGTGGTTTACTGACACAAAGACGTGCCCTGCTACTTGTTTGCCACCTGATCTGCTAACGCAAACCATGACTTATCTTCACTGGGATTTTGCTCCATTAGTCAGTCAATGCAAGGTTGCTAACTTTAACTCAGGACATTTTTTTTTTTTTGGTATTGCTGAAGACACATTTTGTTCCAGAAAACAAGAATGACTCATATAGTCTGGCTGGTCTTAAACTGAAGGCAAGATTAGGTAAATGGCAAGCCAAGAACACGAATATCATCAGAAACTTGGCAAGAAATGCCCATATGGTAAACCCCAGTCTTTCATCAGAAATCAGACATGTAAAACAGCTCAGCAGAAAACCTTGCATCCTGTTTATTTCAGATCGACACCATACCCCATCACAAACCGTGGCAGGTGGCAGCAAGGAGCATTCATCAAGAAGCAACCCAGAAAGAAAACCTCCAAGCTACATCATTCACCAAGATAAGCTTGGAGCATTACATACCCAAATAGCCATGTTGACACAGTAAGTTGAAGATAGATGATGGTGAACAAGATTTTCATCATTCAGCGAGATAATTTGAGCCAGAGATAAACACATCTCAAGGCTACAAGGTGTGGAGGACTGGACTTACCTGGAGCCTTATTCAAGAGTTTCGTCTGTCCACACTAATGAACAATCCAGTGCCGTAGTTGGCTGAAATTTATCTTTAGTGGATATAGTAAAACTTACCTTTAATCACTTTGCTAAACTATACTTTTTTTTCTCATTATTGACTGACATGAGAAATAGGTGCTCAGTTTAATCATGCTGAGCCACACAGGTAGATCTGTCATTTATCTAATCAATGCAATGGATTACTGGTAACAAACTAATCCAATTTGAAGCATGAGTATCCTATCACAGCCCCTCTTTAACTAAATTGTACGAGTCTCTCTTGCAGTCACTTAGCAGTCTCAAATTGTTTAAAGAAAAATAACGGGGCATCTATATCCATTAATGTACTCTATCTATTGTTGCACATAGTAGGGAATAATTATGGAAGGCCTGATTCTTCTCTCATTCACACCAACACAACTCAAAGGTAACTACACCAATGTGCTGTAAAACCAAACTAAGTGACAGGGGAATCCATCCTAAAAGGTCTGATCCTGATACACCCCTAAAGCCAATAGTAAGACACCCATTGACTTCCAGGGGCACCAAACTAGACCTTGCCATGGTCTAGAGAACATCTGTACAACATATGAATCCTGTGCCAAGCGATGGACTGTCTGTGTGCATCTTTGCTGATATGCCAGCTCCATTTTGGACAAAGGCTTTAACCCCTCTGTTGTTTTTCCTTCTCTATATTGTACTAGACCTCCAAAGGGTATTAGCACAGCCCCAGGAGAGGGTTGTAAATGGACATCTGTTCAAGCATGACCATAAGCTAACTCCTACCAAGGGAAGCTGTTACTTTAGCAAATGGTCTCTTCAGCCATAGGCTCACTGGGCAGGCCTGTGATCATCTACCGAGGGCTGACCAGAGTGAGGTGACAGAGCTGGAAGGTTTAAAAAAAGGCAAGAGCCGAGAGGTTTTGTTTCTTTGGACATTTTCCTCGTGTCAAACTTAGTGGGGGCAGCTCATCCCAGGAGACCAATGAGGCTGGGGAAAATTCCTTTCTGACCAGAGACACCCCCATTCTCCAGACACTGGAGGGAAGGTTGAGCTAGAGTAAGGGACATGGTTAGTGCATCTGTATGGTGCACTGCACTGCTGTGTAGACACCCAAGCCAGCTCTGGAAATAGGTTCAATGGCTAGATTCATCGACAGCAACTGGGCGAGTGGCCGAAGGAGCTGCTCAGTAAGCTGCCTGGCACTGGGCCCAAAATCAGCTATTATATTATGTCCTGCTCAGAGAAAGACACTCCAACACGTACTTGGGCCCCTTTAAACCGAAGGAGGCACTGAAATGAATCAGAATCTACCCTGAAGTCTGAGTGAAAAGCCCAGTCCCACTAAAATGAAGGGTGAGGCTTCTAGGGTGGCAGACACGAACCCCCAGAAGAAACATCATCACTAGCTACCAAAGGCCATCAGACCCACGGGTCAGCCCTTTGTATTAGCAGCTCTTGTGGAGCCCTAAGCAACATCTGACCATGTGGGAAGGACTTGGATTCAGGCTGCAAGCATGCTAAGTGCCTTGCACTTCACCCATGGAGAGCAACTACTTCGCCAGCGAGCAGCTGATAATTTCATAGATTGAGTTTCCCCCATTCAATGTATCATAGAAAGTTAGGGTTGGAAGAGACCTCAGGAGGACATCTACTCCAAGCCCTGCTCAAAGCAGGAACATCCCCAGCTGGATCATCCCAGCCAAGGCTTTGTCTAGCCAGGTCTTAAAAACCTCCATGGATGAAGACTCCACCACCTCTCTGGGTAACCTCTTCCAGTGCTTTACTACCCTCCTCATGAGAAAGTTTTTCCTCATATCTAACCTAAACTTTGCTTGCTACAACTTGAGCCCATTGCTCCTTGTTCTGTCATCTGCCACCACTGAGGACAGTCCAGCTCCATCCTTTTTGTAACCCCGCTTCAGGTAGTTGAAGGCTACTGTTAAATCCCTCTCAGCCTTCCCTTCTGCAGACTAAATAAGCCCAGTTCCCGCAGCCTCTCCTCATCAGCCAGGTGCCCCAGCCCCATCACCATTTTGGTTGCCCTCAACTGGACTCTCTCCAACTTGTCCACATCCTTTCTGCAGTGGGGGGCCCAAAACTGGACACAGGACTCCAGATGTGGCCTCACCAGTACAGAACAGAGGGGAATAATCACTGCCCCCGATCTGCCAACAATGCTCCCACTAATGCCATGTTATAAGCAGCATAAAAGATGGTCTGTTGTGTGCCAGGGGGAGCACACGAACAAGTCCAACTGCAAGGGCAGGATCACATTCACGTTGCATTAGGGTCGATTCTTTATTGCTAAATACAATATACGACATGAAGGATTTCATTAAAATGGCAAATACAGAGAGGGAAAAATTCATTACCAGACTGAACTTTGTCAGCTTTATCAACAGTTCTGGTTTGCAAACTGTTTTCAGTCTATAAGTTTAAAAAAAAACAACAAACCTGTTGGCGAACACCTAGAAAAGGCTGGGGCAAGAGCTGCAGGTTATTTTCCCTGCACTTGGTTCACCACATTCCCCTGGAAAGAGAGGAGGGTGCAGCACTGAAGGTCGGCAAAGAGGAAGGCATTCATGGTAGAAAAGAAGAGTTCTGACCTCAGGAAAGATGAGAAGAAAGCTCTTTGCTCCGGCATTAGTTAGAAAGAGCAACTTCCCTCATAGCCTAGGTCCCCAGGACCTTATTTAGCCTGCTCCACACAATAAGGCTTAAATCATGCAAACTCACATTGATGTTCCCTGCGGTTTGCATTTGTAAAGAATGCAAAGATTTGGTCAACAAGGTTTAGAAGCCATTCAGCATCCTCTGCCCGGGATTTTGCTAGAGAAGAGGAACTCCATTTTCCAAACTAACAGGCAGACAAACAGAAAGCCTCATATGCCAGATCGCGCACAGAGCACAGGTGTAGATGAGGGGTGGGGACGGTTTCGGGCCAGTGAAGCCCATTCACAAAACAAAGTCTCATGCAAGTGGGCACTGTTTCTGCGTGTTACTCCCCTTTCCAGTCCATTCACGGCGTGAAACGAGGTAAAAGGTGAGCTGTTCTCAACAAATCCATCTACTGATTTTCTGTTCAGCTGCTGTACAGGCTGTATGGAACATTTTGGGTTCTGAAAAACATTTCTAAGTCCTAAGAGGTTATTTATAGGGTCTGTAACCATCACTTGAGGAAAGGCATAGTAAAAAGAGAGTTCAAAGGGGGTATGTGAAAAGAAAAGAAAAAAAAAAAAAAAGACAGTGTTGTCGCCACGGCTTCCTGTTTTCTCACACTTGACAACATTTTTAAAACAAGCTGGAAGAAACACAAGAAGAGCTGCTGAAAGCAATTGGTGATCAGGTCACCAGGTTTGACTGCTGTGGTGGTCCTGTCTGGTTAGAACAGCAGGTTTATTCCCGCGGATTATTCATACTACAGGAGAGCATCAACGCCCAAAACGGGAAGCAGGATCCTATTCTGATGGGTCTTGTGCCGTACATAGCTAGAGACCATCCCTGCTCAGAGGAGCGTACGGGCTAATAGACAAGACAATGAATGGGAAAGGAAGGAGGCACGGGTGTGAACTGCCCAGTCTGAGGCTACAGAACAGTTTTGCTGCCAGGAACAGAACCTGGATCTCTCTTTTGCTCAGCCACGCTGCCCCTTTAATAAGGTCTCGGGTAAATCAAGTGACTCTTTAACAGAGTACAGGGTGCAGCCAAGACCCTTGGGAGACTAGGGCTACTGCAGAGCAGCCCTAGGCTCTGGCTGGCCTACTGTGCTTCAGTCCTTAATGGCAGTTCTGCTAAGTGCCTGCAAACAGCGGTCAGCTCAGCACTAGATTACTACTTCACATCTTGGCCTTGCAGGTTGCCAGTTTCAGCTCCTGATCCGTTCTCCAGGTGCTGAGCAGCTGGCAGAATCAGTCTATTGATCTTACAGACCAGGGATAGGTACAGACAGTCAAAAATCCCGAGGCTGAATCAATTCTATCTTCACAGGTTAATCTAAGCTGCGTAGATTGAACCGATAAGCAAGTGAACAGACATTCACTGTTGATTCTGGAAATGCAGCTACAAGCCTGCACTGGGGGGGCTCTAGAGCATGTCTCCATGCTCAGCTGGAACAGACAGCTTGGGCCTACCAACCCAGCCTGTGATTTGGGGTGGGGGTGGGGGGGTGCAAAGCATCCTGGGATGGCTGTGAGTTAACTTGAATCTGGAAGGGATCCGGGACAGAAGTTCAAGGAAGTGAGTTAACTTCAATCAGTTAAGTCTGATACTACATCCATCCAGGTTTGCCTTAAACTTGTTTTGGCCGTTTTGAAAAGTGGTTTATATGCACTGAACTTCTGTTGCATTACAGATTTGAACCGGTTTCCAATCACTTATACCAGTTTATGTGTAATTTCTGTCCCAAACCCAGGTGATTTCATGGGGTACCACCAGGCCAAGCAAAATGCACGGTTAGAAGGGAGTGCCGATTCCAGCATGACAGAGGTTCGGTTTTCAGACAGGGGGATTCTTTATCCCAGGACTGTGGGCACCTGAAGAGCTTAGTGCAGTGTTACACATTTCAGAAGACCTTGCCCTTCACAATCCGTTTCCCGAGTTTTAAAGACACGGAGCCTGAGTTGCTGTCCCAGGTCAGTTCAGGCTCCCCCAGCATTCGCCTACTTAGTTTGCTGTCACTAGGACCACATGCACCACACTTCCCTGAGGCTCAGGGGACTGCTCTCAGTGGTGGCAGATGACGGAACAAGGAGCAATGGTTTCAAGTTGCGGCAAGGGACGTTTATGTTGGATATGAGGAAAAACTCTCACAAGGAGGGTGGTGAAACACTGGAACAAGCTACCCAGAGAGGTGGTGGACTCTTCATCCTTAGAGGTTTTTAAGATCTGGCTTGACAAAGCCCTGGTTGGGAATGGTCCTGCTCTGACCAAGGGATTGGACTAGATGTGACCTGCTGAGGTCCCTTCCAACCCTCATTTTCTATTAATCTATTATCTGCACAACCCCTGCATTACCTTTTCACAGGAAGTTTTGCCAGCAGAACTAAGGATGTGGAGGGAAGCATTAGAGACTGCTCTCCTGTGCCATGGTGGGAACTCTGGGTCTCCATGAAGGGAGCAGAGACACCACACTCCTTCCTCAGGGCCAGGGCTAAAAACCAGGATAAAGACCCCCACATGGGCTCTGGCTGCTCAAACAACTTGCAGAACATGCTGGTGAAGACAAAGTGTGGGGAGCATGGAAGTGCCTTAGACCGATTGCTCCCATCTGGTCTTTTGTTCCTCCATCTTTATTTCCTGAAAAATAAAAGCAATCCAAATATAAGCTAGAATATTAAATGCATGGGGAAACCCCCCCCCCCAAATCCAAGAATTAATGAAGCATCAAGGATGTGAGATAATGCACCCCCAACAGGACATTTTAACAGTTGCGACTGGCCCAGTGCCGTTATCTTGGCTCCACTGTGCAGAAAGATGCTCTTAATGAATCTTAACATAATTCTTTGCTACTAAGATATGCTGGAGCTTGATCAGGGTGTATAACATGGCTGAGTTTTGCATGCTTTATCTTAGCCCCTTTAGTGATATTAGGCTGAGGGCAGCAATAGGTTTGGCAGTAGAGAAGGAGGATTTGCAATTAATTTCACTAAGCAGGACAACTTAGAGAGGAGTGCTGGTGTATGAAAACAATATGCTACAAAGGGGGTTTTATTTAAAAAAAAAAAAAAAAAAATCAACATCCTGCAGAAAAGCCATCAGTTCAGCTGGCTGCCTCCGTTATGTTTCATGAAAGTCACCCAGTGTATCGGATATTCATTCATTTTGGGCTAACTATCTTTTCCATTTCTGAACAGCTTCAATTTTCTTGATGTCTCAGGGAATAGTTTATGAGAAAATAGAGCCTTGAGGGTGGACAGATGGAGAAAAATCTCCCTTCTCACAAAATTGATCACTACAATCTTTCATCTGCTCAGCACAGTCTTAGGCTGCTGCATTCAAAGATGCTGCAGCTCTACCTGGGAAATATTCTTGTCATATCTGCATTGTGTGTAAATGATGCTGCCGATTGCTTGTTTCCATTAGCAGATCGTCACAGAATGAGGGTCAGGTATAAAAATGAAATTAAGAGCTTCAAAGGGGTGGGAAGGGAAGCACTGCCTCTAGCATCACACGCCAGCCATCAGATACACGACAAAGAGCTAAGCCATTATAGGTCTATTCCCAGCTCCACTCCTGACCTGCAGCGCTTGTCCACACACATGTTGTACCTCTAAAACTATTCCCTATCCCTTAGAGTGAATACAATCCTTCTCCTGGTGTAAAGGAGCATTACAGAAGGAAGGAGATAAGCTATGCAACGGTAACACTTGTACACAAATATAGCCGGAACCACACTAGGGGTTGCCCTTTGGAGCCAAAATATTTACCTTTAAAATTTCCACCTCGACTTATTCTTTTGATCCCCACCCCAGCACCACTCCTGCCCAGTCCTGGCCCCAGTCTGACATCGTCCCCATTGCTGGAGGCCATGGGGCCTGGGCCCAACCCACGTGCAGCCTGTGGGCCCTGCCATCACTAGGGAGATGCTGCTCAGCTGGGCACCGAGCCCGGCCCTGTCCCCTGCAAACAGTGCTGCCTGGGCCATGCCAGCCGAGAATGGAGCCCAGCCCCATCCCCTGCAAGCGGCACTGTGGCGCATATCCACCCCCAGGTGCCCAGCCCACGGTGAGGGTGCACAGGGGCCGGTATAAGTTGACTGCATATTTCTGATCAAAAAAGTTAGGTCGACATATACACATATGAAAATCCTAACTTTTCGCATCAGAAAAATGGGGTCAACTTATACACCACATCGACCTGAAATACAGTAGTTAGTATAAATCACACCCTTAATCTAAGGGGCCATACTGGTAGTTACTGGGGTCATACATACCGGTACATACTGGGAGCAGAGCAGGCCTGCCTCTTTGTATGGGCCATTTACAAATAGGAAATAATGGTAGTCTCCCTGGAAATCTTGTGGCACAAAAAGCAAAAAGTATTAATGAAACAGTCCTCACGCCCACCAAGAACAGCCCTGACATGCAGAGATGGCACCTCCATGCCAGAAAGGTACAATGATACACTACACTTGTGTAAGTGGAAATGTAATTTACACCAACGTTAATACCCCTTTTGCACTATCTTTGATATAAAGGGGCCATATAGTAAATGAAAATCTGGCTCTGTGAGTGTGTGTGCTGGGCCAAGCTCTGACTCAGGCATGCAAAGCTGGCCTTGGGAATAGGCCTTGGAGGTCTGAATAGGGGACATGGGCTCCCCCTGATCCCAAGCCAGAGCTGGCTGCAGGTGCTACAGGAAGCTGTAGCAGTGCCCACGGCCCCACATTTCCATTTCCCTGCGCATGCTGGGGAACCGAGTCATTTTCCAAACCTGCAAGTCCACCTCTGCACGGCACCAGGGATGGGCTATGGCAGACTGGCTGCACCCCTTGCAAGAAGCAGAGTCCCCTGGCATCCCCCAAATAGGTCTGCTGTCCCGAGTCCCCGGTGACGATGTCAACATGTTAGAGTGGTCCGTAATTTGCTCTGTATTCTCTCCCTCTTGTATTTCTCTCTCTGCGTGTATCTGTGCCAAGGCATTTTCAAGATGGACAGGTGACTCATTTTACCATGTCTTCAATGCCTGGCGTATTTCTTCCGAGTATTTCTGAATGTTTTCCTTTAACAGGAGCCTTATCCCGTAGAGAGTTTCTTTCCTATTTTTCACCCCCACAACATCTTTGCCTGGCAGTGCTCACAGCCGGCTCTGGTCTGCCTCATGGGCCAGCAATATATTTGGTGCAGGAAGGTCACGTTCCGCTCATGCCTGCCACCTCCACACACGCAAGACGAGCATATGTGGTTTCTGCTATTTAAAGAACCACAAAGGTCCCGCTGAATTTGCTCCACTGTGGCTCAGCAAAGGCTCCTGTACTCACAGGAGCTTCCTCAATAAGAGACACGCATAAGGATGGTATAGGCTGAATTGCTGCATCCCTTGGGCTTAACTCTCACATCACATCTGGCTACCACTGATCCTCCAGCCCACACATGGCCAGGTTATCTAGATACAACTGGGGACAGCCTTTGACAAGAATCAAACCCATGCCTTTGGAGAAGCAGTTAGGCACCCTACCTGCTTTGCCAGGACCCCCCTCGTGTCTACATCAGCAGAAGACAAGACAAACTCGGGGGGAAGCTCATCTTACTGATATCTATGTAGACGATTGGTTTTGTAGATGATGTCAGAGACTTCAGGCATAAGAGCAATGGCTCCCGCCAGCAAAATCCCCAGCCCAGCTACCCCACCACCACCGTACTGTGCAGTCACGGCCATGCCCTTTCTCTCCCTTGGCTTGAGTTGCTCCTGTGACTCTCAATTAGCATTTACGATTTCACCGCTGAACAGGCTGATTTATTTCACTTCCCATGCAGTAATTTATGGAAATAGATTCTTAAACAAAATGCATGCGACTAAAAGATGGTCTGATCCCTGGCATTTTACAGAGAAAGCGAGCATTTGTACCCACCGCCACATTGTCCTATGACCGGGCCCCTATCAAGGACTTAAAAAAAAAATAAAATAAAATAAAATTATCTATTAGCCAAGCTCATTACATTAAATCTCATTAAAAAAATTGCACTCCTTTAAAGGAATCTCAGATTGGGCCTGAAATGAATGCAACACTTATGAGAATAGCACTAATTTTACAGTAATTTGCTTTCAAGCCCCTTTATTCCTGCAATTCAAGGTGTCTTACATAAGTGTAAATGTAATTTACACCAACTTTAAGACCCCTTTTGTACTATTAAAGTGATGTAAAGAGGCCATAGAATAAATGAAAATCTGCCTGTGTGCGTGTGTGTGTGTGGTGGTGGTGGTGGGGTGTAACACAATAAAAATTCTTATGATATATAACCTTTTTAACAGGACCAAAGGTTGTTTTTCCTAAATGGTAACTTCATTTTGCTTCTTAGGTCCTGTCAACTACACGAGATGCATCACCATAATTAAACTGTTTTCCAAACTGGAAAACAGCGCAAACTGCGCAAACTGTCAAACCAGCGCAAAACACTGCTTACAGATTCATTTTGGTCCCAAAGTGGTTTATTTTGAGTTGATTTAATAATTTTATTTTACTGTATTATGGTGAATAAATTAAACTGAAATAAGAACATCTACCGACAACCTTGTATCAACGTAAGTCATGCAATACAAAAGCAACCCTTTAATAAAGCCAGTGCAAGTTTGTGCAGAGACAAGGCCATATACTCAACAGACCTGTAATTTTTGGGTGGCCAAAGAAATATCTGCTGATTTTCTGTTGTTATTGCTCTTTATTGCCATTAGCAGATTTAATATAGAAAAAAAGATAGGGACATTAGTTTCTATTCCTCCTTGTCAAATGCCAACTGCCAGGAGACTTGTTTGCTAAGTGCCAATCAGTCCCATGTTTGCAAATGTGTGGAATAAATACAATGCTCCCGTCTCAGGTGTTGCCAACTGACGTAACTGGGAGACGTGGGGTTGCCCGTGTGTAACTGAGCGTGGTGCTGAGCCTTTCTTGGTCCTCGTGATGGGCAAAGGGGAAGGTTCTCAAAAAAAATCCCAAATCAAATGCCCGCATTTTACAAGTAAATCATGACAGTAAGTGACGCCCCCCCTAAAAATGTTTGCAGATCTGCTTTGCAGAATTGGGTTGCGCTTGATAGTTTGGAAAGCCTGAAACACTGAGCCCCACATCTGTTGTGCTTAAAAATACTAAATAAATTCTTTGTCCAAAAGTGTTCATAGAAATGACCAGATACAAATCACGGAAGTAATTTGCACACCCGGCTAACATGACCGAGCAAGCAATTGTCCAAATGACACAGCCGGCTTGGACGTCTGTCATTATCTTTGGAGTAAAAGCCATTTGCATTTGTTTGTCTGTTCACAGAAATGATGGCATTGCTACACTGTACTCCGCGTGCTTGTCAAACAGAGAGAGCGCTTTACCCAAATGAACAGAAATGCAGCATTAAGGTCCCCGTTAAGACTATGACAGATTGCCAGGAGCCACAATGAAGTGATTGAGGACCTGTACTAATCACATCCATTGATATAAATTACTATGTCAGCTGTGCCATGCAGCAGTCTGCAGGTTTACACCTCATTAAGCTTCCATGTGCTAAATGAATCAACAGGGTTCAGCAGTACCGTTTTTAATTAATTGTTCTAGTAACAGGGCAAAAGTAATGGAAAAAGAGAATCAGAACTTTCAGTGAACCCGTGCCATTTACAGAAACCGAAACCCCTGGGCCCATTTCAAGTTACACATGAAGAACACCCACATTTTAATCTTACCTAGCGATCAACAGCCGGGAGGGTGGCTTTGAACAAGGGTTGGGTGGAAAGAGCGGAAAGTGATTTGGAAAAATGTTGTAGCGGATTCACTACTTGGTTTCACATGATTCTCAAAGGCTCAAAACGTCACCGTTCGTGGGTCTACCTTATCCTTTTCAGAGCAGCCGGTGAACTCTGTTTCTACGCAGCTCAGTAAATCGGTGGAGTCTGCAATTTCACAAATTGGATCGTTTATGCAGAAATATGACAGGGACCCTATCTGGCAATTTTGCATTGTGGAGAGCAGACAGGATGAGGCAGACAAGAGGAAGCCTGCAGATCCAGGCAGGCTGTGTCAGCACGCGCTCCGGCCCCAGCTCCAGGGTGCCAGGAGGATTAATTGGTATCAGAGCCTACACCTGCCCAAATTCCCTTCACCACAGGGCTGCTACGGTGCAGGGTCAAGCAGAGTACCTGCAGCCTCAATGGGGATTGCAAGAAATCTCTCGGCTGAGGAGGAACAGGCACTGGCTCTAGCAGTCACTAAGCTGGATCTGATGGGGTTGCTCTCAGCCTACGTAATGAAGCACTGGAGAGCCCCATGGTCCTTAATGACCCTGAAGTCTACTGGAAATACAAGTCCATCCAGCCCCTAGGTAGCCAGATGGATGCAAGTAGCAAGGAGCAGCTTTATCTGCCCTTCATCCTGCCATCATCTTGTCCACATCTTTGGGGACATGGTAAACTCTTGAGGGCAGCCTGAAATCCTGGGCTTTGAAGACTGTGGGAAACCACTGTAAGGTTGCAGCATATAGCAATTACTGCTGCTGTGAGCTGGCAGATTACCCAGTCCAGCAGATTTATCCTAGGCATTAAGCGTTAAACTCCTCTCAGCTTTGGGCTCGCAGAGAGGAGAATCCGAAGGGTGGGAGACCGTCTGTGTCCAAGTAGCATGCATGCACCTTTCCTGTCCCACCCCTTGTATGTTAAATCAATTTAGAAACTCCCTTGGACTCACACCTGCTTACTATGCAGCTTGTATCTACTCGCATAATGTAATGGTCATTTTATGCATTTAAATCACATTACTTATTTTGAGTGCCTCATAACTACTAACATTATCGCCATCACTCTGGCAGACATCAGACACATTTTCCTAGGAACTGCCTAATATTTATTATTTATATTCCAATTGTGCCTCAGATTGCAGCAGTCCTGGCTTTATTTCTTACCTGTCCTCAGAAGAGACGACGGGTACGCCAGTTTGCGTGGTTCTTCTGCAATGTGTCTTAATCTACTAAATGCAATTAGCAGAGAGGTCTGAAGTACAAGGTATGTAGACCAGAGCACCTAACAGATGCAAAAAATGAAAACCTGGGCTAAACGGCTTTATACGAAGCCACTGTGGAAACCAAGTCTGTTCAAGAGCTCTCAAAATGGCTCATTTCCTACCCATGGGAATTGAGCCAGTGCTTGCACCTTGGGTCTCCTATATGTAGGGGCACCTTTTCAGCCACACAATTTTTGGTCCTTCTCTTGCAGCACTACTCACAAAAGCATGAAGCGCTGCTTTGTTCCTCCACTTCCATCTAGGATAGGGCTGTGTTTCAGAGGTGTCACTGAAGTAAGAGTAAGGGTACAAAGAAGCCAGGGAAGCTTGGAAGGGGGAAAAAAAATGTCCATATCTCATAAGAGAGACAAACTGAATTTGAATGTGCAAGTCTCTTTTGCCAAGCCGCCGTTCCCTTCCAAAGGGTGAGAAGGGTGCACAAGAACCAGGTGGGCTACTAATCACAAGGGACCTCATGTCCGGTCTGCAGTGGGGCAGTCTGTGCAGTACAGCACAACACGCTGCTCTGCCAACATTTACAGCGCTATGTAGCAGCGGTGGTGGCAAACTTCTATTTCAAATTAAAACTTAAGGGACTTAGCATATTCAATGATACAGGCACCGGTGGAGGCCTGGAGGATATTCAATAATACAGATTCCTGCTCCAGACAGGACACTAGTACAAAGAACTTGTTAAACAAGGAAGCTTGTTAAAACTAGGCGGAGGGTTTAATCTCCGCTGCAGCGCGCTGCGCTACAGAGCAGGGGAGAGCCATTGGTAAAAGCCCGCCCAGCTCTGGGCTGTTTGCCAGTGCCCTGCTTTCCACCTCGCTGCTGTCCTAAGGTTTCTTACATTGTCAGAGGATTGGGTGTAGTAGATAAGTCAGCTCCACCCCGCTCCCGCTCCCTTGGTGCCCATTACCACAAGCTAAAAATCTCACAATCTTACTGTATTTGTCCATACAACCCCCAAGAATACAGAGAAGTGCTACTGTCCCCATTTTACAGATAGGGAATTAAGGCTAAGTGACATGTCCAAGGTCACAAGGGAAGCCTGTGGTAGAGGAAGGAACTGTATGCGTTTCCAAGATCCTAGCTTAGTATCCTAACCATTGAGCCATCCTTCCTCTCACTTGTACCACGAGCTGGGGGTGGGCACCGGCAGTCTCCAGATGACCCAAGCAGCCATTTCACTGTCTTTAAAAAGGCCTTAATAGACTGGTCCTAAGGCTCTTCAGGCTGCCAGAGAAGTGAAATGAGAAAGACCCTGAGTTTCTAAACTAAGACGATGCATATGATGCTGCTAGCCTGTCTTGGCTAGCTATTAAATTCGTCCTGGTGTTTGGGAAATGCAAGCACGGGAGTGTCATCGGTATTCAAGACCAGCAAAAAATATATAATTACCATTAAACACATGCTAAGTAGCAGGTGTTTTTTTTCCTGGTGTTCTTATGATTCCTCCCAGAGGTAATTTTAAGTCTTCTTTCCTAGTAACTAATACTCCATTTTGTCTAGCTCTTCTGCAATTCACATAAAAACCAGTTCTGACCAGAAAAATGACACCGCACTAAAGCAAAAGAAGATCTTGGTCATGTTTCTAAAGAGCAGAAATGCCGACGGAGAAAGGAGGGTAACAAAATCATTCCCCGTGCTGCACCGCTCGCAGCTAGTTAACTGTTGGCTTCAAACAGATTTCATCGGGATTACGCACGCAGCAAACTCGTTGTCCAAGTTATTTATGTTTGAAAGAACACGTTCCAGGAGTGACATCCATCGCTTTGAAAAATGGTAGCTGTTTCTTTTTGTTTTAAGCGATTGAAGGAGGAAGCCCAGTATTAGCAATCCAGACAAAATCCCCCAAATGGAAATGCTGCTATCAGACCATTTATAAACGCTAATTGCTGAAGAGTCTCTGTTAACAGTACTCTGTGGCAAGACAAGTGAGGAACCCAATACTGAAAGGCATGTTCTTATGTGGAAAGTCACTTCACACCTCAATTACAGCTGCTGCCAACCACTTCAGATCTGAAGTATAATGTTTTCTCTGGTGAGAGGATACCATTAGCACAATAAGCAGTTAGCACTGAGACTGTGAACTGAACAGCACCAAGGGAAATCACCTCACAGTGGGAACTCCTTAGACTTTTGTTTTTATGCTACTTTGAAAAGCAAATTGATTAACGCACACAAACACCACCGCTTAGCTACCTTTTTTGTGCCCATCAGCTTTTCAATTAATCAGAAAAGCTCAATTTAGGACTTTTCTTTAGAACAGGTTAGAGCATTGTACTGGAGCTCCACGTACATGTATGTTATTCTGAGCCATAGAGAAACATTTGAAAAAGATATGCCATTGGCTTAATTATTGATAACTCACAGCCCTAGATATAATGCCCAGTTGCATAGGACTGCAGCCACCACTGTTCCCAGTAGCACAGTGGCTAGGATGAGTTTAATTTACCTGGTTGCAGACTTGGGTGATTAGTCCAGGGGAGTAGTCGTGGTCATGAGAAAAAAAAACCCCACTTCTCCGGTAAGAAAACAGCCCTTGTTCCTGTGCTGACATCTGCTCCTGGGCACCTTGAAGCCTGCACTGAAGCCCACTAGGCCCTTATGCTACCTTCTAGGGCATGGCCAAATTTATTCTTTCAAGGCAGGAGGCTATTCAGCACTAACTGCATTACACAGCATAAGTAAAAGTACATTAACAAGCACATCTAGGGTGCTTTGAATTAATTATCAAGGCACTTCATCAATATTTACGGAGGGATTGTCTGCAGGAAGGGGTTTACTTTGAGGTGAAGTTCTTCAGCTTAATGACTTCAAACTAACAGTGCATCTAAATTGAAGAGCTGACTTCTTCAGTCATTGCTTCCACATGGGGAGGAGGACCGCATTGTGGGTGGTATCCCAGTCTCTGTTGTGCAGTTCCCAGGCTCAGTGCATTATGGGATCTCAAATCCAACTCTTAAAGAAACTCTATGATTCCTCTCTTACCATCCAATTTTCCACCTCTGGGGACATCAGGCGTTATTTTCCTGGTCCTATTGGACAGTGATGGACTACACAGATCTGTGCTGCATGGAAACATAAGCAGGAACTTGCACGCATGTATTTGGCATAGCCAGCTGGGCATAGCTTTGCCCTCTAGCTGCACCGAGAAGAGTGGGAATGCAGACTAGGAGGAAACAACGACCTCACTAAGAAGCCATTTCAGGAGGAATTTGCTGTATAGTTTTTGGATCAGGCTCATTCCATGTAGTAGCATGTCTATGCTTGAGACGTGAGCATCAGCAGCTGGGGGAGGAGCGTCTGGGAGAAGTCGTGCTTGCAGAACTCGGGGGTCAGGAAGGGTGCTTTCCTGGGCATCTGTCCCGAGTCACCCCAGAGACAGCAAATCAATATGGGAGCTCCCTGAGTCGTTCACAAACAAGACCTAAAACTACCAAATGCTGATCACCCACCTATCGGACTTGGAGAGATTTACATTTGGGGCTGGGACAATGAAGACATGGTGCATTTTTCTTCTTGCTGTGAGGGGTTGGCTTTACCTGCTATGCAGGCCTTTTCCATAGAAGGGTCCGTGTCAATCAGGGCACTGGCAGTTTCTTGTGCAGGGTTTGTGTCCTTTTGGGACATTGCAAGGGGCTGCACTGCTGAGGCCAGGAATGTGGCTCATTCACAGGCTTTCCTGTTATTGCAATAGGTGTCCATACCCCATCAGAGAAAGCAGTACAGAAAGAGACTATTTCTGGGTAACATGCCTGGGAGGACAGTCCCCGATGTGGGGACAAGGGAAAAGGCAGCCCTGCCCTGCAGTGTCACACCCCAGTGCTCCGTTCTGCGTTACTTGTGGACACGCTCTATGTGTGCTGTGGCATTGATGCTGTTTTGCAATGTGTGTAGGGTATCGTGTGAGCCAACAATGCTGGAGCTTTGTAAACTGCACCGTGTGATATATTGCCCATATGTTATAGTTTGATTATTGCTCAATGGGTTTTTTTGAAGATTAAAGAAACACATTGATAAAGTTTGTACTGATAAAAAGCCTAAGACATGCATTGATTAAAACAACCTTGTTAAGGTTTCACTGGAAACAAGAGCCTTCGTGATAACGTACTGATAAGAAAATGTCTTGCTAAGATTTTTTACCAATGGCAAACATACTGATGAAGCATAATTCAATCACATTTTCCTGTGTGATCAAAATGCAGTATATGCCCGTGTATTAGAACTACGGGATATTTGGCTTTCAATAAATATTTCTATGGCAAGATAGTCTTTTGTAAAGCTGGTAGGGCTGAGAGATGGGCACATGGCATGGTGGGTGGGAGGGCGTTGGGAGGCCTGGCATTGCGACAAGAGATCAGCAGTCATTTAGGAACTCTATTGTGGTGAGGACACTCGCTGTGTGCCAGACTCAGGGAATAGGTCTGGCTCAATCAGACTAGGAGAGGGCACAAGGAAGAAAAGATAGAGGGCTACAGCTGACAGGCTTGACTAGCGCTTGACTGGCCAGCTGCCATTTTGAGCAGACAAAGGGAGGGCGTAACTCAGAAAGACTGCAATAAAAGGACACGAGCTCGTATCCATCCAAAATGGCAGCATGCAGCATTGGGAATAAAATCAAGTGCACACTGCATATATTAGCACGTAACATGTCCCATTTACCTTTACATTAAGGCTGCGTCCTATGTGGGCCAGGTGGCTTCTGCAGCACATCAGCAATAGGCAGGGTTTTCTCTGTCCCTGCATCAGGACCCGGCCGTTGGGTTCTGAAGTATTGCACTCCTGAGTGTTAGGTGCATTGGCATGGTCAGCACTCACACGGCCCTCTGCATCCTTTGTCCAAGTCAAAGCTAGGGCCTGTGCACCAAAACCCCGTCCAGCTCTCTGGAATATGGAGAGGCAGCCGGAGCATGACCACAGGTCCAGTTTCTGTCTGTAAGACCCTTGTAAGCCACCCTCACGTAAACAATACCCTGATTTTGATACAGCACTGGATGAGGTCCTGGGTGTGAACATGCTCACCCACTGCCCCAGCCATTTCTTCATTTCTGTCAGAGTTCCCATCAGGTCTCCAAGAGCTTCATCACCTCTTCCCAGAAAAGGTGATCCAAGAGCTCTGCATGGATCTAGCTGGAGGCATGACCGACAGGCATGGCCCAGGGCAAAGTGGGAAAGGCTGTGGGGTGCAGCTGCTAAGTATGTGGAGTGATGGAGCCTGTGAGCCCAGAGCGAATCTGGCTGCATGCCAGCATTTGAACTGGGCAATGATATCCAATCACCATGACCCTGGGGCAGCAAAGGCAACATAGATAAACAGACTGCACAAGCAGGGCAGAGTGCAAAGCAATGTGGGAAAGCAGCTGGAGGACTGCCAACATACTTCAGGGCACAGACACAACAAACTCCAGTGTGAAACCACTCCTGCTTTGCAAAAGCAAAGACACTGGATCAATTTTCCAGTTATATCAACATAAAGAGTTGTGGTGGGAGCATGTGTGCGCATGCAGGTCTTTTTGCACTGATGCAACTAGATTTGCACCAACACAATCTATCCACATAGACGAGCCCTAGTCCAACAAGGCACAAGGTGAAAGGAGACACCCAGAAGGACAATGTAACTTTATAACACATGGCAATCCTTGCAGAAGTCTTGTCTACACCAGCCTTTCTCCCTGCATTATTTCAATAGTACGATGAGTTAGAGCACGGATAGGTAACCCCTGGCACAGATGCCAGAGCATGGCATCCAAAGGCATTTTGCTTGACATGCACACCTTGTGGCAGACAATGGGGAAAGTGCTGCCATAACGAGTATCCGGTGCCTCGCGGCTCCTCCACCATCCATCCCTGGCATGCCAACATCTTACAAGTCAAGACAGTGGATGGTTTCAGCACTCGGCCCAAAAATGTTGCTGACCCCTGACTTGGAGTTTTCTTCATACTCAAGACAGGACCTCAAAATACTCACTGCCAAATGGACAAACAGGTAAGAGTATAGAGGGATGTTATAGGTATAAGTCAGCTAGATTTATCTGTGAGCAGCATGGCAGAAAAGGGTCTAAGTGGAATTAGCAATTGGAGACTAAGTGGAATTGCAAAGGGGAAAGGGCTGTTGAGGACAGGACTGCAGAAATGTACCCAAGGCTTCACTGTCAGTTTGAGGCAACGCCAGAATGAGAATTCAAACCTGCATTCACTCCTATGAGTTTTGGTTACCTCTCTCTGGTTACGTTCAAGTCTGAGCTTACATGCTGTCCTGAATTAGGACCTATATCATTAAGGGTTGCCATATTTGCATTTTAAAATGTCGTCATTTAAACACAGATTCCCAGACTCAAATATTGTGACGCTATTTTCTGCACTTACTCTGCTACATTCCGATTTTAAAATTAATCATTTAATTCCAGGCAAGTATTTTTGACTGGGATATGAATCTCCCAGAATTATGAACATGGGTCTCCATAGTGAGATAGATTCATTGCAACCGCATTCCCTTGTGTCTGCTTCAAAACTTCAGTTGCAACTGCCTGCCCTGATTTTACATGGGAAGTCTCAATATACTGTAATTAAGCATACGCAGGAGGTTGGCAATGCTGTCTGTTGGCACCTGGCAGTGGGATTCCCCTTCCAGAGACACCTGCACTAAATGGTAATTCCTCTCTCCACCATCACCCCCTCCTCCCCCCTCAGCTTTTCCCTTCAGCTCAGAAGGAACAGATGGAACAATCATCCTCCTCATTCCAGAGTAAGGACCCCTGCTGCTACAGTGAGCCTTATGCAGTTGTAATACACATAATTAGGCAAATCAATGGACAATGCAGCATATTAGAGTGGGAGGAGTTACATCAAGCAAAACATGAATTCCGGGTTGTCTACGGTAGTAAATGGGACATTTCTGCTAATTGCCAAAAACTGCGGACACAAGGCAGAAACTAATTATGCCACTGGTAAGTAGGATACCTTATCACCCCCTTGTCACAGCCTAGAGTGCTTAGGAGAAGGACTTCAGGGGGCTGTCCTCATCTTGATATACAGGTGATTTATGCTTAAATGTCTCATTAACATTTATGAGTTATTCATCCATGTCTCCCACACGTCCACGAGCAATTAGAGGGCATGATGTGTGCTGCTTTGTACCTTCCCGATGCTTTCAGACCAAGTTGCGGCGCTCTCGGGTGAAAAGCTGTTGTTCCAAGAGGTGTTTCTGCTTTTTCGTGCTGTATGCGACTAAGGAAGTGTCCAGGGGTCTTTCCTGCAGGAGAAACTTGTCCACAAGAGAGATCTTCCTCCTTGAAAGAGGAAGCTCGCTCGCTCTTTCACAGGAGAAATTTTTTCCTGCAGGAGAAACTTGATACTGTATGCTTGTGGTTTCTATCGGGAGAGCAGTGAAGAAGCACAACACCTGTACGTGGCTTGGGTCTGCAGCCAAGGGTTTGCCGACCACTGCAGACAGAGGGCAAGAAGGGTGGAGAGAGGTGTGGGTGAGTGGAAGGGAAGACTTACCTTACCTGGCCTACAGTTGCCACTGCTATGGCAGCATCAGTTGTGCTCCTGCAGTAGCAACCCTGAGGCTGGGCTCCCTGAAAGCTGACCCCATTTGCTTCCTCCCTCTCCCCCCACCACTGAATACATATTGGGTGCAGGATTGTGCTATGGCAAATGCTCCCCCCGCCCTCCTACCCTACATGCACTGCCTGGTGCAGCACTGCCTCTGCCATAGCAAAGACCACCAGGGAAAAGATTCTGGCACTGCCTTATAGTCAGTGCCTGGGGCTGGTGCCCCGCTCACCCCATCTTAGTTATGCTCCCAGCCAATTACTAGACAGTTCTCTTACCGCCCCCCTCTCCCCCAAAAAAGTATCTAAAAAAGAAACTGTGCTCTCAGAAAAGTGCCAAGCTGATGGGTAGGAGCAGTGCAAGTTCATCTCTGCCAGCTTATCTTAGGCCTGACAAAATACACTGCTTCTGTTCTTGTCCTGAGCTTCTTCCCAATGCTGTCAATAGTGCTGAACTGCACTGTGGCTTTGCAATATGACAAATGTTGAATGAGAAGTAGGCCAACATTACCAAGCTCAGTTTCAGCTGTGATCTAAGCCAGCCTTCCAAACATACAGCCTGAAGGCTGAAGGGTCTGCCCCTGCTGCCAAACCTAAAAAATAAGCATAGCATTATTTTTAGGTATCAGAATATTTCAATCTCAATTTCATTTCAATAATAGAACCACCCGTTACATAAGCACATTCGTGTGCTGCAACCCACTTACTGCAATAAAGGAGAGAAATGTATCTGCAACAAGCATGAGAAAAATCATACAGAGAGTTATTGACTTTGTCAGACAACAGATAGGGACGCCATTTGCTCACATGTTGTTATATGACTAAGTGGCACAGTATATCATAATATTTTAAGAAAAAAAGAGATACAAATTCACATTAGATGCTTTTCCTGGATAGGGAGAGGTACTCACTCCAAGTGTTAAGATGTCCAATTTGTTTTGGGCCTACAAAACAATTCCACGTTCATTCTGCTTTTCTTGGCTTATCTGTTCACAGCTTTGGAGCGCATTCTTCCTTATCGTGGAGACAAATGGCCTCCACGGAGAGTTCTAAACAGCAAAGCCATTTATCTATTTGACATGTGTTTCCCTGTTTGTTTTCTCCAGCCTTGAGACAGCCAGCTCCAGCTTTGACAATATTTAGCTGTGTCAACGATGGAAGCCTGCATGCCCACTCACTCCAGGGGTGCGAATCAATTTTGCTGGCACATTTATCATTTACTGTGGTAAATCAAGTCTAATCAATGCTTTCTTCATTTGCGGCAGGATGAAACCTTTATAAACTTTAAAGAAAACAATCTGGCAGGTGAAAAGAAAATAAGCTGAATTAACAACAAAAAATATGAACTATTCAGTCTTTTTTTTTTTTTTTTTTTGGACAGTGTATCAAGGGAAATCCTTCCCCCGCTGAAGTCCAGGAGAGATTTTCCATCGACCTTGATGGAGCTGATTTCACTGGCTGCTTTTCACATGGAAGTGCAATTCTGCTCATAGAAGGGATCCTAGGACAAAGTGCCTTTGGGTTTAACACAGCTGGACACCATGCATTCAGTCACACTGGCTAACTGGTGACGAAACAAATGTCTATTACTTTTCTCAGCCCTGCAAAGCCAAGACTCGGTGAGCTGGGTTTTATTCCCTGTAGGCACCATCAGCACCAATTCCCATTCACCAGGTCGCCAAATAACACTTACGCAACTTCGCTGAAGGCGGTGGAGCTAGCATACGTCACCCAGGTCATAACTATGCCATACACATTCCCTCTCCTTCCATGGCTGGCAGGACTCCAAGCAGTAGCAAGGAGGGTAGACTTCCCGGGGCCTTGAGCAAGAACGCAGGCTGCTCCTGCTGGTCCACTGCCAGCTGTTGCCAGTAACTGCCTTCTGAAATTACCCAGGCAGTAGTAGGACTGCCAGCAGCCAGGGGCTGTGAATGAGACCTAATGGTGACCTTCTCTCTGCACATCTAGGCAAAATAGGGGTGCGACACCACCAGGGTTTTAGACACAAG